ACTACTACTCTTACTACTACTACTACTACTACTACTACTACTACTACTACTACTACTAACTACTACTTCTTCTTCTTCTTCTTCTACTGCTACTACTACTACTACTACTACTACTACTACTGCTACAGCTACCACCACCACTACTACTACTACTACTACTACTACTACTACCACCACCTCCACCACCACTACCACGACTACGACGACGACGACTACTGCTGCTGCTAGTACTTCTACGACCACTACAAGATCTGGCTCCCCTTGCAGCTCCAATTTCCATGGCACTGGTATGATTTCTGCTACTCTGAGTTCTCAGACTAAAGCGGATGTCAGATTTCGCGCTGAAGATCAACTCTTATGGAAAGCTTACGCCCTAAACCCCAAATCCTAATACTAAGACGACGTTTACCTCCAACCCAGGAGTTGCTTGAAACAGAACCGGAAGCATCCTTCGGTGTTTAGGGTTTATGGTTTACCCATAGGCCCCTTAGTAGTTCCTTTTGGGGATTACCTAATAGGATTCTACATATGAACCCCAAAAGGGAACTACTGTGGGGCCTATGGGTAGGATATTTACGGAATATACCTTAAATTATAATATGATCCCTAATATGATTTAAGGTATATTCCTTAATTAAGGGGTTTTGGGTTAGGACGTTGCCTCTTTGTGATTCAGCGTTAAAGCTGCAGCTGCTAAGGTGGCCCGACTAGTGCCTGATGTCGTCCGGCGGTTAGCCAAGACCTTCAGCTCCGAACGTCCGGAGGTGCGCGCCTCCCCCACCGTTTTGAGATAGATTCTAGAATCTGGAATCTGAGTTGCTTGTCTCTTATCCCGTTATACTCTATATGCTGGAACCCTAAACCCTAAACCCTACACAGAGTGATCCTTCTGCCATCACCTACTAGGGTACGTCTCCCGAGTGCGAAGTTGCTATACATCCCAGGACGGATGTGGCCAGAAGGTTGTCGTTCGAGTTCGCCTTGACCCAGCCTACACCCGTAGTGGCTCCGTAAGGTGCTGGAACGGCTTTGAACTTGCCTATTGATTACTGTTCGAAAGGAGTTTGAGGCGAACATGTGAGTGATTTCCCAAATTACGCTTCCCCTGAGGGTGCCCAGAAAGAACCATGATGCGTAGATTAAAGTGTGTGTATGTCTTAATACAATATATATATATATATAATATACACACATACATACACACATACATGCATACAGAACCACCAGCACCACGACCCTGATGGAATCAGATCCCGTAGCAGCAGCTTCGTCAGTCCTTTGCTGGCGACTACTCACAGACTTGTCTCGATGATCTCTTACTTTTGGAACGCCTTGCCATCTTAATTCCGAGGAATGTTCCGAAGAGATTCCTAGACTTGAAAGCCCTCAAACCTGTAACGCTGAGATGCTGACGTTTGGGGTTTAGGGGTTTAGGGTGTAGGAACCCTAACCCCTAAAACGCTAAATCCTATGTTCCATCGTGAGGGGATTTTGTGCACCCAATGGGACTCGGGTTCGAGCGCTGATGGCTCAAACATACGTGTAGTCCGTCGCCGGGGGCGCTGCCAACCATCGACGGCTGAGACATGTCCCTTGACCTGCAAGTAAGGTCGTCTATCAAGGTTCCTAAACCTCAATCGGTCACCCTAAACCCTAAACCCTAAACCCTAAAGGGTATAGGATTTACGGAATTCTGGCATCTTGCATTCGGATCGAAATCGCACATCTCCAGGAAGGCCCACTGCACCCTATGTGGAATGGACCGAGCGGGACTTCCAAGCAGACTCCAAAGCACAGGACTCTAAAAGGGTTTAGGGTTTAGGGTTTAGGGTTTAGGGTTTAGGTTCTAAAGACTTGCACTGAAGAAACCTCATTGCATCTCATTGCCTGGGACTGACATAAGCACATCCCGACCCTGAGCCCGACACCACCCCCGAATCCTAATCCTCAAGTTTCAACTCCTACAACGGTAACCCTGCATCCTCAAGCCTAAACCCTAAACGCTAAACGCTAAGCCCTAAGCCCTAAGCGCTCAGCCCTAAACTCTAAGCCCTAAGACCTAAACCCTGTTTCCAGTGCTCCCGAAAGCACAAAGCACCAGCATCATCCATTGGCGAGATATCAGAGACAGGCTTCTGCAAAGCCCAATCTCAATGCTTTGGAGGGTTCAGGGTTTAGGGTTGATCTTGGAGAAGTCAGGTTCAGACCACTCCGGAGAGGAGTGGTATTTTCTTGGGGTTTTGGGGAAGCGAGACAGAGCTGTTTACGGCGTGTGTATATAGACATAGGTAAGTATGTATGTACGTATGAATGTACGTATGTATCTTTTTATCTATATATATATATATACGCAAATATTCTAAGACCGATATTCACTTGTTTGCACAATTTATATGTATTCACGCGCAATTTTTGATTTTCATAATTGTTTACATACAGCATCTCCCGAGAGCACGGTTTCTTCTATGTCTTCTCAGGGCATTGCAACGATTCCCTAAATCCCAAACTCTCAGGGGTTTAGAGTTTCAACTCCGCCCCGTAAGCCTTGAAACTTGAGCTTAGGGCTTAGAGTTTGAGGAGTTTAGGGGTTTCGGGTTCCTCTACAACCCAGAAGCCATAAATTCTAGGGCTTTCTCATCGATGACTACAGCGGAAACCCGGCATTCATATCAGACCCCAAACCGTAAGCAGAGCAACCCAAACTCAGCAAAGGCCGCTGCGCGTGCTGGATCAGAGGTCGGTGCAGGCGTGGCGGGAGTTGAGGGTTTAGGGTTTTCGCGTGATCGGCTCAGGATTCTTCGGTTTTGTGGTAGAGGGCTCTGGGAGGTGTATGGAGGTCTGAACTATTCGTAAGGATGTCCCCTGTAACTTACATGCCTCATACTATAGCCTCGATATGCCTCATAACCCTGTTCAGGCATGTTTCACTTACTACATATTACAAATCATGTTCGAGACTGTTGAGATCGACAGCTAGCATAGTATAGGGAACTGCAAAGATCAGGCGCTGTTGGTGCTTACGGGGCGGCCAAGGATCTAACTCGAATTTGGACGGAGGTTCATTAAAGGTTGACCAGAGACTCCAAATTTCAGGAGTATACCACACTATGATGGATCCACCTACGATTTGACGATAAGGCTCCATCAGTAAATTTCGGAATATGCCTTCAGTCAGCGGTTTTGGAATCTCCACGTTAAGTGGTGTGTCACCATATCGAGACGTTCAGAAGTGTAGCTTGCTCGTTGGTAAGAGGAGAGGCTGATTCAAACGCACCACAAAAGCCAGATTCAAGGCACCTATAACCCTATAATTACTACTTGGAGAAGCCGGACCGCTTAATGCATATGAAGGCAATAACTGACGAGGGGCGCACGAGTCCTACTGGTGCTATGCTGTTACTACGGCAACCCCGCGAAATTCTGCATCGCAAGTCTTGAAAACCCCACACCTCGATGTCTGAGTAAAGGTTGCCAAACCCTAAACCCTAAACCCTTCTGCAACCCTAAACCCCTAAACCCCTAAACCCCTAAACCCTAAACCCTAAACCCTAAACCCCTAAACCCTAAACCCCAAACCCTAAACCCTAAACCCTAAACCCCAAACCCTTGTGAATTTTTCAGTC